GAGAGAGACAGAGCATGAACGGGGGAGGGGCAGAGAGAGAGGGAGACACAGAATCGGAAACAGGCTCCAGGCTCGGAGCCGTCAGCCCAGAGCCCGACGCGGGGCTCGAACTCACGGACCGCGAGATCGCGACCTGGCTGAAGTCGGACGCTCAACCGACTGCGCCACCCAGGCGCCCCAGGATATGATTTTCAATGCTACTCCTTCTGCAAATCGTACCTCAAGATCATTTGTAATTTACAGAAATTTAGAGCATGGTGATACTTAGGCTTCTGTGAAACCATTTCATTATTTGACATGCATTAAAATAGAATTAAAATAGTTGCATACCTGTCTTCAACAGTTGTTAAGTAAGCCTTCTCATTTACGCAGGTTTGGTTTGCTTCTGCAAATGTTGAAAGTGTGTGTCCAATCAAGTAGCAGTAGAAGCCGTGTCTTTTCCAGCCCTATTAATGTTATCAAGCAGATTATCGTGGATATTTATTCAATAATATTATTTTAATAATTCCTCTATCATGAAATGTAAATTGCTAAATAACAGAGGTATCTGAAGGACACAAATCCGAAAAGTTTGAAATGCAATGACAATTACTCATGTGAATAAGAAAACAGTAGAATGTTGTTTGTCATATGACAAATTAGGACACAAAACTGGGGACCGGGCATTCATTCTCTCTGTTTCTGATACCTCTTCTAACAAAAGCGATGTGTGAAGTACTCACTGGGGAAACGGAACAGAATGCGTAAGATTTCAGTATTAGAATGAGTAACCACAGGAAATAATTGGCAAAGTAGCAAGCTCGTTTGCCCACTGACGTCGAAAGTAGATGATGACTATGAAACTGTATCATCTGGTCCTGGGAGAATACTTATCAAACTTCTGGCAGCACCATTTGGCATGGTTCCTCTCCCATCCTTAAAACACCCAGAAATGCTACATAAAAGCATTACAATAGGGGCACCCGGGTGGCTCAGTGGGTTAAGCATCCCAACTCTTGATTTGGGCTCAGGTCGCAGTCTCACGGTTTGTGAGACTGAGCCCCGCTTCCAGCTCCGTGCTGACAGCATGGAGCCTGTGTGGGATGCTCTCTCTCTCTCTCTCTCTCTCTCTTGCTCTCTCTCCCCCACCCTGTGCCTCTCTCAAAAATAAATAAATAAACTTAAAAGATAACAATAAAGAAAAAAATTCCATACTTGAGCTCAAGAGAAAGAAGAGGTTGTCTCCAGTTACCGAAAATACATCGAAAACTAAAACCTAGAATGGGAAATACTCAAGCTGAGACTATAGTTGCCCCATGGTGCACGAACCTCAGATTATGGTACTAGGGCAGCGGTACTAATCTCCATACAAATGAGCATATCAGCTCACTTGAGGCAGGGGAATGGAACTGAAGTCCTTACACGAAGATGGTACCCACTAATGGGAGCCCCTCCGAAAAAGGAGAGTGAAAAACTCTACTCACAGAACCGAGAAATGACAGTTTCTTATCATCTGCCTGGGGTTCTAGGTGCAGGGAGAAAAGTTCTTCTGTTAAAAATAAATACCAATTCTGTGCCAGGGATGGGTGCTGGTCCCGACTTGATGCCATTCGCATTGTATTAGCACCCGCAGCCAAAAACATAAAATAAATCTCAGTCTACAAAAAGAGAGACTCCTAGATATTCAGAGAAGTCAAATGCAGAAACACACAATAGAAATATTTCTACAACACAGGTAATGTGAGGCTAAGACATTTGAGGCTTAGGTTGGGGATGGGACGGGGAATGGTTGAATCAAAAATTGCAAACCACGTGAGGCTCACATTCAAGGAAAGTTAGGAATTGCCTTTCTGGGAAAAAAACATAAAAATAAGCATGCTTCAGATGATTTAACAAAAGAAGACAAAAGAAGGCAAAGGAAGAAGCAGAATCAATAATTAAAGAACAAAATGTTATCAACAAAGAACAAGAGGATGTGAACACAAAACAGAATTTGTAGAAAAGAAAACCATGAAGTTAAAAACTCAATGGCCAAATAAAATATAGAAATGCAGTTTTGGAAAGATTAGTCAACGAATGAATGTTGCAGAGTAAGGAGCACATGAAAAGACATTTAAAGAACACGGACAGAAAACACAAAATAGAATGAGAAGGTTGAAAATCAAAGTAAGAAATGTTTCAGAATCACCAAATAAAATTAATGACTGATAATCTTCAAGATTTTAATTTTTTTTAATGTTTTTACTTATTTGTGAAGGAGAGACAGAGACAGAGCATGAGCGGGGGAGGAGCAGAGCAAGAGGGAGACACAGAATTGGAAACAGGCTCCAGGCTCTGAGCCATCAGCCCAGAGCCTGACGCGGGGCTCCAACCCACAAACCGTGAGATCATGACCTGAGCCGAAGCTGGATGCTCAATGGACTAAGCCACCCAGGCACCCCATATAATTAAAATTTTTTTTAACATTTATTCACTTTTGAGAGACAGAGAGAGACAGAATGTGAGCGGTGGAGGGGCTGAGACGGAGGGAGACACCGAATCCGAAGGAGACTCCAGGCTCTGAGCTGTCAGCACAGAGCCTGACGTGGGGCTCGAGCCCACGAACCACGAGATCATGACCGGAGCCAAAGTCGGACGCTCAACCGACTGAGCCACCCAGTTGCCCCAATAATTTTCAAGATTTAAAAAGAAAGATACATTCTGAAAATGAAGAAGCACACTGAGTACCAAAGAGAAGAAAATTAATCCAAAGCTCAACATATTGTACTAAAAGCCTGCAGAATGGCAAAGACAATGAGTAGATCTTAAACTCAATCAAAGAGAAAATACAAGTAGCCACTTTTTAAAAAGAAGAGTTAGGGACATGTGGGTGGCTGAGTTGGTTAAGCATCCCAGCTCTTGGGGCGCATGGATAGCTCAGTTGGTTAAGTGTCTGACTTTCAGTTTCCGCTCAGGTCATAATCTCACTGTTCTGTGAGTTCAATCCCCACATCAGGCTCCTCACTGACAGTGCAGAGCCTGCTTGAGTCTCTGTCTCTCTCTTGCTTACACTTCTCTGTCTTTCTCAAAAATAAGTAAATAACATTAGAAAAAAATTTTTTAAAAAGCATCCCAACTCTTGATTTTTGCTCAGGTCATTATCTCACTGTTCATGAGTTCCAGCCCCATGTTGGGCTCTGTGCTGACAGTGTGGAGCCTGCTTGGAGTTCTCTCTCTCTCTCCCTCTCTCTCTGCCCCACCTCCTTCACTCTGTCTCTCTCTAAAATAAATAAGTAAACTTTTTTTTTAAAGTACGGGTGCCTGGGTGGCTCAGTCGGTTAAGGGTCCGACTTCAGTTCAGGTCATGATCTTGCAGTTCGTGGGTTCAAACCCCTCACTGGGCTTTGTGCTGACAGATGGGATCCTGGAGCCTGCTTCAAATTCTATGTCTCCCTCTCTCTCTGCTCCTCCCCAACTTGTGTTCTGTCTGTCTGTCTCTCTCAAAACTGAATAAACATTAACAATTTTTTTTAAAAGAAGGATAAAAAGAAGAATTAGTCTAATAACAGGGGAATTCCAATGGCAAAAATAAAGGCCAGGAGAAAACGAAACAATATGTACACAGCACTGAGGCGCCTGAGCGGTTCAGTCAGTTAAGCATTTGACTCTTGATCTCAGCTCAGGTCACGAGTTCCAACCCTATGTTGGGCTCCATGCTGGGTGTGAAGCCTACTTTAAAATATATCATATCACACACACACACATACACACGCACGCACGCACGCACATCCATACAGACAGCATTTTAAAACAACCTACCTAAATTATTACGCAAGGTAAGGGTGGATCAAGACATTTTCAGATAAAGACAGAGTTTTCCACTCCGAAATCACCAGTGAAGGAATCACTAAAAGTTTTACTTTGTCAAGGAAGAATTTTAAATCAGGAGGAATAAGAGAGCTGAAAGTCTACACTGAGCAAAGGAACCAATAAATGTGTGTGTGAATCCAGGTCTAAATGCCTGTGCAAACAGCAAAGAGAACTAATTGCAGGTGGGAAGTTAAAGAACGGGAAATTAACGAGATGTGTGGTTTAAGCAAAATAAGTCAGTGGGAAAAGATCAGTATCCTATGACTTCACTCATATGTGGAACTTAAGAAACAAAACAGATGAACATAGGGCAAAGGAAGGGAAAATAAGATCAAAACGGGGAGGGAGGCAAATCATAAGAGACTCTTATTTTTTAATTTATAAAAAAATTTTTTTTCAACATTTTTTATTTATTTTTGGGACA